TGGGGCAGAGCAGCTGGAGTGCTGCCGGGTTGGTCCAGTAGCGCCGAGGAGGGGCGCTGCGGGACCAACCTGGCAGCGCCCCAGCTGCTCTACCCCAGGCGTCGTCGGCGAGAAAAGCCTGGTCTGCCTGGGGGGTGGGGAGGGGCGCACTAGCTGCGCCCCGCCCCCCCCAGCAGACCAGGGAGACGCGGAGCAAAGCCGTGGAGGACCCAAGCGGCGGGACCGTGGTGCGTCTGGGCTGTCCCGCTGCCCGCATGCTCCGCTGCTTTGCTCCGCGTCTCCCTGGTCTGCTGGGGGGACTCCCCCCAGCAGACCAGGGAGACGCGGAGCAGCTTTTCTCACCCCGTAGGACGCGGGCGGCGGGACCGCGGTGCATCTGGGCATCCCGCCGCTCCTGTCCTCCGGGGCAAGAAAAGCCCCGTTCGTAACTGCGGATCCGACATAAGTCGGATCCGCGTAACTCGGGAACTGCCTGTACTGGCTTTTGTGCAGTGTTCAGCTTATATTATTTCTATTACCATAGCGCCTAGGAATCCCATTCATGTAGCAGGACCCTATTGCGCATGGCACTGTACAAATCCAGATGTAAAAAAGGAGATCCCCACCTCTAAGCATGATACAAGAAAGACACAGACTGGGGAGCACTCGTAAATAGACACACATTTATTGGTGTTAATGGATGAATTGATACAACACTGCCTTTCGGTTACACATATTTATATTCCCTCTTCACTTTTTATATTTTATTTTTGTATTTCTGATTGATGTTATCAATTCAGTCAACATTAATACAAAGATAAATAATCTCTGTGATATTTCAGTTATTTATTAATTGCTTGGATTAATAGAGTCTTTGGCCTCTGAGTTTATTTAGACCAGATACTGGGAATATCTTATTATCTAAAAACCCCTTCAAATTATTTTTTGTTTTAAAAAGTCCTCATTCATGAAGCTGTAAAGAGCCCACACATCAGTTATGTGTAGGCTGTGGTTTATATACTGGCTTTTTATGTTTTCTTGTAAGTCTGAGGTAGAAGGCCGCTTCTTATCTTTCCTGGCATTCTGGTCTCCCTTTTAGTGCGTACTTGTTATCCCTCATCCGCTGGGTGGTTACATTGTTTTCTGGCTGACAAGTATTGGATATGGGTCAGGCAGAGAGACTATTTTGTCTGTACAAAGATTGGCACAATGAGACACTGACCTGGTTGAGGTCTCTAGCTCTGACTGTTAATGTAAATGTAGAATAGTAGTGTGGCCTTTGCCATGTGTGCCACCATCAGGATTTTGATTTGCTCAAATACCTTGATTACTCTACCTTCTAGCCGAACATTAGGATATGCTTTAGATGTGGTTTTCAATGCAGTTCTGTAACTTCTTCTGAAGCCTGCAGTAGGTGGGGCAGAAATTGTGTAGGATAGTCAATGACAACAATAACTTAAGAGAGGAAAAAAGAAAATCAGGGCCAGAAACCTGATGTGCCTCAGTGGGGCTGCCCCAGCAGTGTCAGGAGCCCGGCGCACAGGGAGCTGGGCTGCTAGCGTAGCAGGGAAGGAGGACGTAGGGACCGGCAGGGCACAGTGAGGCCATCAGCACTGGGAAAGCTGACCAGGAGGCTGGCAGCTGTGCCAGGGCTGGGGGCACTGGTAGCAGGGGGGCTAGATATGACCTCCCCTGGTCTGGCAAAAATCCCTCATCTGGGCCGAGTCAGGTCCTGAGGGTGCCCAACCAGTGAGGTCCAACCTGTATTACAAAGTAAGCTCCCAGCTAGCAGCCTAAATAGCACATGAAAGCACTTTTATCAGAAAGAGAGAGACAAATGTGTTGTCTTTACTTTTAAAAGACCAAGAGACACGTCTTCCAAGAGTGTGATGCGAGTTCAGCTGCTTGGGTTTTTTGCTGCTGGCTGAAGTTGAAAGCTTGAGTGCTATGATGGAGCAGATATTCTGTGTATGTTGGCATGATAATGAGTGCATACCAGTGCGCTCTGTGTGGAATACTATTAAAAATAGCTGTCTGCAGGGTTGTAAGTTTCAGAAGACCACACTTGTGAGCCTAAATTCCAGTTGGAATAACAATATAATTACAATAACCATATGAGGCATGGGCCCAGTCTTTATCCAGTTAAAGTCTATAACTGTTTTACTTTTCTGATCAATGGCAGAAGGTTTTGGGCCTCAGAAATCAAACTAACGTGCACAGCGCTTATTATGCAACACCTATGAATTCGAAGGACATACAGGCAGTCCCCGGGTTACGTACAAGATAGGGACTGTAGGTTTGTACTTAAGTTGAATTTGTACTTAAGTCGCAACTGGCTCCAGATTCAGCTGCTGCTGAAACTGCCCAGCGGCTGACTACAGGAAGCCCGAGACAGAGTTTCTCTGCCCCAGGCTTCCTGGAATCAGCCGCTGATCAGTTTCAGCAGCGGCTGACGCCAGTTCTGACTTACATACAGATTCAACTTAAGAAACCCAGGCGTCCCCAAGTCAGCCGCTGCTGAAACTGACCAGTGGCTGACTACAGGAAGCCCGAGACAGAGTTTCTCTGCCCCAGGCTTCCTGGAATCAGCCGCTGATCAGTTTCAGCAGCGGCTGACGCCAGTTCTGACTTACATACAGATTCAACTTAAGAAACCCAGGCGTCCCCAAGTCAGCCGCTGCTGAAACTGACCAGTGGCTGACTACAGGAAGCCCGAGACAGAGTTTCTCTGCCCCAGGCTTCCTGGAATCAGCCGCTGATCAGTTTCAGCAGCGGCTGACGCCAGTTCTGACTTACATACAGATTCAACTTAAGAAACCCAGGCGTCCCCAAGTCAGCCGCTGCTGAAACTGACCAGTGGCTGACTACAGGAAGCCCGAGACAGAGTTTCTCTGCCCCAGGCTTCCTGGAATCAGCCGCTGATCAGTTTCAGCAGCGGCTGACGCCAGTTCTGACTTACATACAGATTCAACTTAAGAAACCCAGGCGTCCCCAAGTCAGCCGCTGCTGAAACTGACCAGTGGCTGACTACAGGAAGCCCGAGACAGAGTTTCTCTGCCCCAGGCTTCCTGGAATCAGCCGCTGATCAGTTTCAGCAGCGGCTGACGCCAGTTCTGACTTACATACAGATTCAACTTAAGAACAAACCTACAGTCCCTATCTTGTACGTAACCCGGGGACTGTCTGTATAGGATCTGGAATTTTGGCTCATATCTAGTTATTACTGAGTAAAAAAAATCATTTTCCATAAATCATATTTACCAGTGCAAGCACAATTAATAAATGGAGGGTTTGCAGGTTTGTGCAGTTACATTCTTGTATATGTTTCTCACTGTTCCTTTTTTCCTCTCTAAATAGGTGAAGAGCATTACAACTGCATCTCTGCACTTCATAAATCTATGCGAGGCTCAGATGAAAATGCATCTCTTTACTGGCTTGCCCGTATGCTTGAAGGTGGTGAGGATCCATTGTATGTGGCGAGAAGGCTAGTGAGGTTTGCAAGTGAAGATATAGGTGGGCAGCACACAGAAATTTTAAAAAAATAATGATGTACATCTATCTATACTATTATAAAAGGGGGCATCTGTCATGGAAAACATTTGAGAAGTTTCTAGGGGGAGGCAGGCCCTCAGCCCCGCCCCCACCACAGGGAGGTGAGGAGGAGGAGGAGGAGCAGCACAAGTGTGCCCCACCACCACCTCAGGGAGGGGAAGAGCATGCATGTGCCCCAGCATCATCCCCTGAGCAGCAGAGAGGGAAGAGGACACATGGCCCCAACCATCCCCCGCCCCCGGGAGCAACAGGGATTGAAGAGGCTGCACAGCCCAAACCTCCCCGCCCCTGGAAACAGCGGGAAGGGAGGAGGCCACGTGTATGTCTGCCCTAACAACAGGACAGGTAATGCTCGTAGTAATAACTTGTGAAAGCTCTTTGGTGACTTTTTGAAAAATCTGTTCATTTAAAAAACAACAAATGAAAGTCTGTTGCCATGATTTGAGTTCAGGGCTAAACTATTTCTTTGGCATTCAATGATGATACCACTGACTGGAGGACTGCATTCAGTCTTCCACTTCACATGGTAGTGGTTTGATCAGCTCTTACGGGAAAACATACATCCCTGAACTTGGGATTCCATAGATAGTTAAATAAAATAACCTGTTTTGATTTTAAAATGTCTTTTCATTTGAACTTCAGTTATCCAGGAGGCTCTAGACACACCCACGTTTTCCAGTAATTGAGAAAACTAATTTTACAAATCATGCTGACTTCAAACTTCAAAGCCTGCTCGCTGTACACACCTTGTCGGTTTATCCACAACTGGCTGATTCACCAAGACGTCCATTATACCTCTTTAATCTGGCAATGCTGGGAAACAGAGTATACCGGATAAAAGAAGTTACTGGGCCAGGAAGGGTGCAGTAGGGTCTGGGCACGAGTGGGATAAGGATGGCATGCTTACCTGGCATCCCGCTCCTTGGGGCACATGTGGCTTTGTGCTCCCAGGCACTGCCCCCTGCTGCTGTGGGAACAGCAGGGAAAAGCCTTACAGGAAGCTCATTGTTGCATAGTCATTCCCCCAGCTAGGGGAGAGGGAGCAGCAGTGCACAGAACTACTTCCTCCTCCGCCTGCCAGGGTCCATACCAAAGCTGTTCCCGGATATGGGGCAGCCGAAATACAGATGTTCATATGTAATACTTTAGGGAGCATGTGATGTTTGCAGTCTTGGGGAAACCATCTTCTATATATTATCCAAAATCTCTGTATATAAAAAAACTTTTTCCATGGAACAACCGAGTGGTGTTATCATGTCACTCTGGTGTTCCACATGCTCCGCCCTCCCACAGGCTCCCTGCCCCAGACACTGTTTAGGGATGGCACGACTTGCTCCAGGGCCGCTTGCGTGGGGTTGTTCTTGGCGCTCACGGGCTGCTAGGCCAGCAGGCTCAGGAGACACGCCAGGCGTGGGGAGAGGTGCCCCACGTCCCCAGCCTCCTGCTGCTCCATCCTCCGCCACACCTTGAGTGGCTGCATCTTCAGCCCAGCACTGTGCCGCTCCACTGAGACCCAAGCCCTGCCCAGCCACACGTGGGACTGAAGCAGCGAGCAGCACTTCTGCAGAGCAGGCAAGGTGGTGCCCAGAAGCACTGACCTGAGTGGCCTGGGCACTCTGCCTGGTGCTGCAGCCTTGCTTTCCCTCCTCCCCTGTGCAGCTGGAGCACCAGTGCTAGCTTCTGGTTGTGGAGGGATGGGGGCAAGGCAGGACAGAGTAAGAGAGCCCAGAGCCTCGCTCCAGAGGGGGGAGGGGAGAGGGAGAAAGCCCCGAGGTACACTGCAGGGGTGGGAAGGGAAAGAAAGCCCTGAGCCTTGCTGTAGGGGAAGGAGGAGAGAGAGCCCCGAGCCTCGCTTGGGGGGAAGAAATGCGCTCCCCTCTCGGGCTGAGGGAACAGCAGCGTGCGAGCGCACTGTTTGGAGGCTTTCTCTGAGTTCCCATTGGCCAGATTCCACCTAATGGGAGCAATGGGAGGCCGAGCCTGGGACTGGCGTGGGGCTCAAAGGCAAGAAAGTGCCCCTACCCCCTCATGCCCAGCCCCTGCACCCAGGGCCAGCCCGAGCCATTTGTGCGCCCCGGGAGCACGGTGCCGCCCCCAGGAGTGCGGCGCCTGGCCCGACAGCCCCGCGCAGCGCCCTCTACAATGGGGTGGGCACGTACCTTGGGCTGGCTCTTACTGCACCCCCTTCCCCCTCATTCAATCTTCCACCCCCCAGCCCACTCCTTCCCCCTCCCCCTTGCCAGACATCCTGCCCCAGACAGCTCCTGCCTCCTAACTCCCAACCAGACCTCGCACCCTCAGTCCTTCCTGCACCCCACCTTCTGCCCAGATCCTGCATTCCCATCCTTATCCCACTCACTGGCAGCCCTGTCCTGCACACTGAAGCCCTCATTTTTTGCCCCACTCCAGGGCCTAGGGGGCCTACAAAGTCTACCTATCCTGGAACCCCATAAAAGGCCTGGAACATAAGTTCCTCTCCTCACCCTTCGGGGCAGGAGAACCAGGGAAATGAGGTGTTTTGGTTGGGGGCCACATCATTGAGGGCTCGGGTTATTTAGAGGGGCTTTTTTTTTCCTTTTCACTTGTATGGTCCCCAACTGATTTTTCTGTGGGTCAATGGACCCCGACCCCAAAAAAGTTTCCCACCCCTGCAATAAACAAAGACAATGTTGAAACCTTTTTGGACATAATATTTTACTTTATTTAAAAATGAAGCCTGGCCAATAATCCCCGAATTAAGGGCCAGTTCACATCTGGCCACAGCATCCTGTTCCCAGCCCCAGCATCCTGTTCCCAGCCCCCCTTCTGCTGCAGGATGGTTAGGAGGAGAGGCCATGATCTGGCTGCGGTGGACAGAGAGGGGTTGGCAAGTGTAGCAAGCAGGGGTCACAGCCCCCTAGTAACCCGTTTTCTAAAAAAGTCCCTCCATTCATTAGAAGAGGTATTACTTGATAGCATAGTTGAAGAGAGCACTTGCTATACTTGGCTGTTTTTAATTTACTTACATGTGATCTTTTTGTTGTAGGAATGGCAGATCCTTTGGCATTAACACAAGCAGTTGCTGCGTACCAAGGCTGTCATTTTATTGGAATGCCAGAATGTGAGGTAAACCTACTTGTATGAGCATGCACGTGTTTGTCACTAGGTTTATTTTGTCCATCACTCATGATTTGTGTAATATTTACAACTTCGTATTCTAAGTTAACTCTTTGCATCTTAATCAGCCAAAAGCAAAAGGAAGTTTTATTATCATTCAGTCATTCATTTATTAGTGAAGATTCATTGTGCAGTAGCTCCTACAGATTAGACAAGGACATGACCTCTTGTTACATGTAGGAACAACAAACTAAATAATAGTCTCTGGGTATTCTAGACTAAATTCCTCTGCCAACAGAGGCATGTAAAATAGTCTACCCAACATAGCCAGTGAAGCAGTGATTTAAATATCCCTGGCTTCATTAAAATAAAAATGGCTGCTGCGCTGTGCCAGCTCAGCTGATTGTCGGCAGAGCACGGCACTCAGAACGCAGATCGGTCGACAGGGGAAGCCTTTGTCGAACACTCCCTTATGCCTCATGAAACGAGGTTTACAGGAACAGTCAACAAATGCTTTCCCTGTCGACCGATCTGCGTCTTGACTGCCGTGCTGTGCCAACAAACAGCTGTTGGCAGAGGCATGTAGTCTAGACATACCTTCTGTTACTAAGCGTTTACAATCTAAAAGTCACATAATATTATTCTCCGTTTTGCAGGTCATACTAGCCCAATGTGTAGTCTACTTTGCTAGAGCACCCAAGTCTATCGAGGTGTACAGTGCATACAGCAATGTCAAAGCATGTTTGAGAAACCACCAGGGACCACTTCCACCTGTTCCACTGCATTTGAGAAATGCCCCAACAAGGCTCATGAAGGACTTGGGCTATGGTAAGGGCTATAAATATAACCCCATGTACAAAGAACCTGTGGAGCAAGAATATCTGCCAAAAGAGCTGAAAGGAATGGACTTTTTTAAGGGAAATAAAATGTAAGTGTCTTACTGTGCCCTTTTTTATATATATGAAGTATTTTTTTTGCAGCTGGGTTGAAAATCTCTTCACACTTCACGCATATACCTCCTGGGCTGACATGATGAAACTATTGGGTCCATGATTACTCTGTTACCCTTCTTTTTTTATAAACTTTTTGGAGGATGTTTTAAAAACAATCTGTAATTGCACAAATTAGGAAACTAAAGGTGGCTTTTATTAAGTTGTTAACATGCAACATGGCTTTTGCCCTTTAAGGACAATAAACGTAACACTGAAGAAAACCAACTACAACTGTGTCAGAACAACATAATGAAGGAGTACTATATAGTTTTAAAAACCCTGCCAGCTTCCTTGTCTTATTATTTTGAGGATATTTGAAATTATACAGAATAAAATATGAAATTCTATGGTGAAACAAAATGTAATTACAATGTAATACTCATTATACTGTGTTTTAAACTGTTTTTGATATGACAAAATGTCATAAATCAATAAAGCTGTTCCAAAATAATTTTTCAGTTATTTATGTGTATGACTTAACACTTTTTTGTGGCAGTGATGGGGTTCTTAATATTATTATGATCTTATTTCTAATAACCAGCTTCCTGGCAAATACAAATAATTTTCATTAGACTGATTTAATGAGATTGAAAGTAGCATGACCCATCCCATTAAAAAATGGCAGCTCTCTTTATTTTTTTTTAATATGATGCATTCTTTAAATGTAACTTTTTGGAAAGCAAGACCTTATAATACTAACTTATCTGTTAACTACTTCCAGCCTTGCTCAAGAGTTTCCATTAGCCTGAGTCAAGATAGTTGGGAGGCACAGATTTGACTTGTCATGATAGGAATGGAATGGCAACTGTTTCTCTCAAAAGACAGTGGCTTAAATACCAGTACAGTTCAGTTTTGGTGTATCCTTTTATAGCATTGTGGGTGCCTAAAAAGTCCAGTCCTCAAGCATCAGTCCTTGCCAGGGATAATGCAGGCGAAAGGTGCAGGGCCAGAAAAATGTAGCTCTAACACGACTAGTGTTTAAGGACTGTTGCACTTTCTTCTTTAAACCACCTCCGTTTAGTCTCTTTGACTTCCTGGCACACCCATTCAGTGTGGTCTGTAACTAGCTAAATCCTCCCAGCTTGTGGTATCATTATTTCTTGCAGTTGCCTTAGTGTGACGCAGATAGATAATTTGATCTACCTGCATAGAAAATGCACTGACTCTTGGAATATACACAGATAATTGATCTGCTTGCATAGACACAAAAGAACTTGCAAGGAGTTCTGTGGAGAGAGCTTCCTCTGTAGATGTTGCAGTCACTTTGATCTCCTTTGGTTTTTGTCCAATACTGTATTATGATGCTTCATGTTTTATGGTATACCATCTTTCCTCCAACAGGCAAATAGGACATTGAGCAGATGTTTAAGTGCAGTATGTCCTCCTTGTTTCACTATTTCAGCTGTAATTCCAACTTTTCCTGTCACTGTTTCTGGTGCTAGGGAGGTGATTTGCTTTTTCCAGCACATTTATAGATGATTCCGTATCTAGCACTTAGATTATCTGGAGTCTTGGAATCACATTTAGTGCTGCTTCAGAACCCTGGTTTCACGTGAATTGAGTTTCTGAGGGTGTTCCATCCAGCATTACATCTGTTTGCTTCTGTCAATTATGTCTCCATTAAGAGATTTGAGCTGGGCAGCCTTCTTGGCTGAAGGACATATTGCTAGATTGAATCCAGCATACATACCTCATAGCTCTCCACTCTCAAAAAACATTTTTACCTTCTCGCACAGTTTGAGCAAGTATCATTGAGTGCATTGGTTTGCTATTCATGTGCTCTTACTAGCGTGAAGGTAACATAAATCACAGGAGAGGGATACATTTTGTGGTAATTGCTTTGCATTTTTAGTTTCAATAACTGGAAGTATTTCTTCAGAAGTGTGCTGCAAACCAGTCTTTATTTTGTACAGACAATTCAGGTTTTTATCCATGAAAGCTCATGACCTAATACATTTGTTAGTCTCTAAGGTGCCACGAGACTACTCATTATTTTTACAGTTACAAACTAATACGGCTACCCAGCTAAGACTTTTTATCTTGTACAGTCTTTTAACCGAAAGTCAAAGTTGCACCTATATGGATATTCATTCTGACTGTTTTCCATGCTGCATCAGCATTCAGAGAAGATGCTATCAATGACATAGCTTCCCTGTGATTTGCAATGAATTGGAGACACCTTGCTTGGTCTTTTGATAGTGCATAAGTGGCAGCGTTGTTTGGTACACAGGATTTTCTGCAGTAAATGCCCTTTTTTTGCAGCACAGTGCAGTCTTCTTGTGCAAACTGAAAGTATGAAGAGCATCGTATATACTTTCTGCTGGTGACAGTTAAATCCAGTAGGTGCCACCTGGGTTTAATTCTGGGGTGTCTTCTGGTAATCACCTTCGAAGTTGGTGGTGTCGTCCTGGAAAAAGATAATATTCACAGTAGATTCTGCTTCAGCTGAAGCAGTCCCAGACTTCATTCCAAAAACACAACACAACAGAGCACCTTGCTAGTAGGGAGCCAGGCAGCTGTATGATTGGACAGACCTTGACTGGCATGAGTTCTTATATAGCCGGTGTATGTCACCTTCCCTTGTCAGTAACCAATAAGGGTAAACCATATTAACTGAATTGCAAGCTGTCAAGGGGCAGGCCCCCTCGACGGTCCGGAAGTCCCCAAAGTTTGGGTCACTGCCCCCTTTTTCCAGGGCAAACACGGCCCGCAGACTCAGTCCATAGCAAAGTTCCCTCTATCCGGGTATATACGGCCTGGAGGCCTAGTCCACAGGGAAGCCCCCCAAACTGCTAGGATGCTGGCCTGTTGTGGGGTGGGGAGGTAGGGAGGAGCTGGACCCTCCCATTCCACCGGGTTCTAGCCCAGGGCCCTGTTGGCAGTGGAAGATTCTTCTGCTGGCTTGGCGGGGCTGCCGGCCGAAACACACCAAATTCCGAGAGAACGATCCAGTTGGTCAGCTCCAACTGAGAGGCTCCAAGACTTTTATACCCAGCCTCTCCCATGAGCATGCCCAACAGGGCTATGGGGTGGGGCCTTTTCAGCTAGCTGGGCCAGACCAGCTCCTTGCTCCTCGGTGTGAGGTGGGAAAACCCCGTCTCACAAGCCTTGCACAGGTTGGTAATGCACAGGCCTCAATGACTGCAGAACTCCAGTAGTTTTTGCCCATTATGCTTCATTTTTTCCTGTACTGTGGTGGCCAGTGTGTAGTAGGGATATGAACAGGTAACAGGTCAACTGTTTTTACATAGTAAGCATCACCGTTTAGTGAGTGATGCTTACCGGTAACCAGTGACTTTGGAGCCCCGAGTCCCCTGGGGCTAGGCACCAGCAGCCCTGTGCAGCCAACAGCCCCGGCGAGCTGGGAGCCCCCCACCCCACCCATGGGATCCTGGTTAATTGGTTAAATCTAACATTTAAATGGTAAACTAATTAAATGGGATTTTACATCCCTAGTGCACAGTGGCTATATCTCATAATCTCAGCTGACACTAGTGTTGAAATCTCCCAGTGTTAGCTTATTGATAACACTGTCAAATTGCTGATAGAGCAAGTCCTTCTGTTCAGAGAGAATAATATCGGGACATCTAGCCTGATGTTAGCAAAGCCACTTGCTATAGCTATTTGGTCATGGGTGAAAAATAATGTTTGACTGCATAACCTAGCATGTGCTCACAGCAGTCTTGTCTGTGTGTTCCATGTCAGAAAAAAATGTACTGTGCCTCACTTAGAGAGCCTGCCAGCTAGTCTGGTTTCTGATAGAGGAGCTATATCAGTGTCAAAAGCTACTCCAGCTCGCAGTTGTGATGGAGGACTTCCTAGGGTCATTGGCCTCCTCTAGATTGTTTGACATATCAGTGAACACTGTCTTCACATTCCTACAAGCAAGTTTGAAGAGGGCGACCATTATACCCAAACCTTTTGTGTGTATGCCTAAGCAGAAAAAAAAAAGGAGACTGAGGCTTGCCTTACAATCAAAGCCTCTCTTGATGATACTGACTCAGCGCAAAAGCTTGGAGGCTGACACTTTTAGAAGCCAACATTGCTACAGATGTTATAGAGTACAATTGCAGTCCCAACTAGGGGTGTTACATATCGGTTAATTGAATAGTTGAGTAACCTCATGAATTCTAATTGATTAGTTGACTATTCAATAGTCCCTGGGGGCGGAGCCAGCAGCTAGTGCGCCTCACTCCCAAGGAGCTCCCTGCCATGCCATGCTGCTGCTGCTGCTTTATCAAAGACAGCTGTGTGGGGTGCCGGGCAAGAACGGGTCTGTGAGAGTAGCCAGTTTAAAAACCAGCTCCCCTCATGGACCGGCAGCCTGTTACCCTGTGCTGTTGCCTCTGATAAAGAGGCAGCAGTGTGGGGTAGCAGCAGCCCTTGTCTGGGGGGGAATGGGGGTCTGAGCTTCTGGACCCAGCATGAGCCGGAGCTGAGCTGGGCTGTCTGCCTGCCCAGTTCATAATACACTTTAAATGCAGAGCCACAGCAGGGGTAGGTCCTGGACCCATTGCAAGCTAGGACTGATCTGGACTGTTGGCCAGCCTGCTAAGAAAATGTACTGGTGGGGGAGGGGGGGAAGAAATGTGTGTAGTCTATAGCATTAACCTATAAAAGCTTTTGCTTATCGGTTAATTGACTATACCATTACATCCCTTGTCCCAACCGCCTTACGTTTTCTCCTCAGTGGCTTTGGTTCAGGGCTTTCTCCCATAGCCTTTATTCAGACACAAAGTAGCTGCAAGACAGCACTCCCAGATGGAGTTGCTCCTTTGTGGATACTGCTTTTCATTCTAATAGGTATCTGGCATATCCTCCACCACTCAGTATCTCATGAAAACAGACTGAGAATTCTGACGTTGGATTCCATCACCTTCACATTTAAAACATATCTTCCCAAGACTTCTGACAGTGCAGCAGAGTTTGCATGTAAATAAGAAGTAATGTGTGTGACCATAGGAATATAATGACCTTTATAGATTTTTAAAGTCACAAGCGCCCATTATGATGATCTCTTCTCACCACTAGAATGACACTGGTCTTTGAGCAGTTTGTGCAGTGGAAGGAATATTTGACCTTTGACAAGGTCCTTTGACTTTCATATTGCCTTTCCCAAACGTTTATATAAAAGTGTAGCAACACATCTCTATCACCAAGTCACCCTCAGCAGCAGGGTGGAAGGCTGTGGCTGGAGTAAATCAGTCCTTGTCCACAGGCTTTTCATTCTTAAAAGTTTATTTACAGTTTTCACAAACTAGGCCTCAAAATTGTCCTGAGAAGCTTCCTTAAGCAAAACTTCCAACACAAATTATTTTTCTTGCTCCTACCAGAGCTCCTGGTCATCAGCCCCTTTCTGAACAGTTGTAAACTCAGTATTTCCCCTGTAGGGACGAAAACAGCTCTTCCCCCCTAAGCAGAACCTTTTCTCTTT